AAATTGACCCTTTTACCATTACAAATTCTCTTTTCATCTTAAATAAGACTTTTGGACTTAGAAGTGTACAGCAACAACTGCTTTCTTTTGGTTACTGTTTATGTAGCATATCTTTTCTATTGTTTTATTTTTAACTTTTCTGTACCCTTATATTTAAGTTGTATCACTTATAAAAGGAGTATATTTGAGTTTTGTTGCTTATCCCAACTGCTACTTTAATAAGATTTAATAAGATTACTGCATACTTCATCTTACTTTGCTGATGGACAGTGACTGTAATGCGATATGTAGGGTGTTGCTCATGTGAAACCTTCATAAGACTATATATCAATGATACCTTAATAATAATAAATAAATAAAGATTACTGCTTACTTAATGTAATTACCGATATGTTTGGCTTTATATTTACCACCTTACAATTTTTTTTCCATTTGACCCACCTACTTGTTTTTCTCTCCTTTCTTACTGTATTTTAGACTAAACATTAAATATTAAGTGGACTTTAAATATTATTTTTTTAATATATATTTAAGAAACATTTAATATTTAAATATTTATTAAAATAAAAATGCTTATTTAATTTTCTTCCTTTATTAACTTTTAGTTGTACATTCACTTAATACTCTTCTAAGGGTCTAGAGTAGTTTATTCAAGGTATCAGTTATGACAAAATAAGCAGTTTGTACCAGAATGTGAATCACTACACTGCTGCTTTCAGCAAAAATCTTCTACGAAAAAGTCAGCTGAACTGAACTGTTGTGAATAGTTGATTTACCTGCTTGTGCAAACTTCTTTTCCCAACTGACAGAAAGCAATTTTCAGGCTGCTGGTCTGCAGGCTACTCTTTGAGTAGCATTGCCCTAAAGCTTAAGGCATGTATTTTTGACTTACTGCATCAGGTACCAGATTTCAGCCTCTCAGAGAGTGGAAGGCTAGGTAGGCTCCACATTTGGCCTTTGTTGGTGTAGATGGCGCTAGAGGCACAATTTTTTTCTGTGGTGGTTGTCTAGAGTGGAGGGGTTATTGTCTGAAAGTTTTCTGCCCTGGGTTAATCCTTCCCTGTGGCTAGAAAGCAGACTTTTGGGGGGACCTTTTTTTTTTTTAATCTGTGCCTATAAGCATTTCCAGGTTGCCAGCTTCTTCAGCTCGAAGTCTGGGATATGTGCAATGGAGAAGAAAAAGAACACCTTAGGAGAACTCTGTACCATGTCATTCCTTGGGTTCTGAGGTCCCTAGCTGTTTGCCTTCTTGTCTCTACCTTTCAATCTTCTGGTGTTCCTCTTGCATATAATGTGTAGTTTTTAGTTGTTTTTACTGGAAAAACTACAGAAAAGTATGTCCATTCCCTCTTCCTTGATTGCTGAAAGTTTGTTCTTTTTTTAAAAAAGATGCCAGTTATCTGGTGAAATTTTGTATCTCTTTTCTCAATTTCCTGAACATGTAAATTATAGCTACTTTAAAGTCATTGTCTTGTAATGCCATTTTATCTGGATCATCTGTAGTTCTACTCCTAATGTATTAATTTTTACTCCTGACTTTCAGTCATTTGAATACTTGATAACTTTATAGACATTTGTCTTAGGGTTCAGCAGTTTTTCTTTGATCTACCTAGATGTGGGGGTTTTTTTATATTTAAAGATACTGGAATTTCTAGACACTAAATCTCTAGGCTGGTGCCTTTCTCAGTTTTTGAAATTTTGGGTTTATTCTTCTCAAATATAGTTTCTGCCCCATTCTCTCTGATAGGACATTGTTTGTTAAAATTTGTAGTTGCTGCATAATGTCTTTCTCCCAAAAAGATTCCCCTTCATGGTGGGTAGGTAGAGTGAGGCAGAGCACCTTAGTACAGTCAGGAATTAACATGACTTCAGGTTGTTTTCCCACGACTCTGTTTTAATTTAGATTCATCCTTACCCCTGGGTCATAACCTGGGTTCCCAGTTTGGAGCTGGAGTGTTCACTAGAGTTCATCTGTAGGGTTCTGAACTCAAGTCTTGTTTCCTCAGCTTACTAAGACTGCCACATCACTGCTTTGCTCTTTTAGGCTTTCTGCTCTTATTAGACTGCTATCCAGCATAGCTTCAGAATTTTACAGATACCTTGAAAGGAAAACTGGAAGAAAGTTGGACTCAGTTCCCACCTTTCTGTTCTACCTGAATCCTGGCCTTTCCAACACCTTGGTAGAGCTCAGATCTCAGCAGGTTTTTCCTCCCTGTTACCAGCAGCTCTGGCAGACTTCTTGGGATCTTCAATCCCATCTTGCCCTGCCCCCCGAAGAGTCAAAGGCTGAGGGGAAAGCAGCTGCAGAATGTTGGCTCAGCTCCCTGTGTTGTTACCCTTCCCCATGGTTTTCTCTCCTTGAATCCTTGTTTCCTCAGCAGCTAATGATTTGAGGTTTTTTAAAAAATTAATTTTTTTCTAGCTGTTCTTGGTGGAAGTGTTGGTCAGCCTGAAGGACTGAATGTGAAGTAGGACATGCAGTTTCTTGAAAAGACCATTAGTAATTCTTATGCTTATCCCTGGGTAAAAATTACTTGCTCTATATAGAAGTGAAATGTTTTGTAGCAGTAATAGAATCCTGTTAATAGATATATTTTGAATCAGAATTACTTCATAGTTAACTTCATCTTCATTTTTAAATAATTTGGTGAAGAACCAGTACTGATAATTCAAGTGACTAGAGTATGTTACTGGTTCTAACTTATTTTATTAAATGTGATAGTCTACATTATTCCCATGTGCTCTATCATGTTTAAGAGTCTTAGTGGGGAATTTGGCCCATTTTAAATATGCTTTTAGATCTGTAGTGAGCTTTGCAATACAATATTGAATACAAATTACATAGAATGAATAAAAACTAATTAAGGTAAGTAACAGTATTTTTTTTTAAGTAAATGGATTATAGGCATAAAAATTAAGTAACTTTTTAGAATGATTGATGAGATACTAGGCCTGTATAATAATGTTAGATAATATCTCTTGAAAGGTTAGCAACTATCTAGGCATGAGGTGATAAATCCTAGCACTTCTTTTCTGGTGTAAGCTTGGAAAATGTGTTTTCTTTAGTTGTCTAGAAATAGAAATGCCTGAATAACTCCGTTTTAATGGGACAGTACTAATGGTCATCCATGTCTTTTAACTTTCATCTGAAACTGAAAATGCTTATATAAGTGCCTTGGTTGGTGAGATTTATATAACACCAATAGTAAGTTGTCTTTCACCAGACTTCCTCTTACTACTCCTTTTAAGTCTTGTAAGCAGGCTCTACAGAGTTTTGTCTTAGGTCAGTGAGGTTGCACCATACTTACCTTCCTCAAAATCAGCTAATATAGCAAACAAAAAACGGAAAGGAAAATCCTCTTAACCTGTCAGCAGTACCTCTTCTCCTTCAAACTTAACCTGAGTCTTCACTGTCTGGGAAAATTAACAGAAATTAATCCTGTTGACTTTTGAGCTTTTTGAAGCCTAAGTCCTGGCAATGTGATGGTAATTCAATAAAGAGTTTAACTATATAGATTTTCTCCTTATCTGATGATCTTATAACTTAATTATATATTAGGATACAATTTTACTATATTCTGAAACATCTATAATCTGCATTTTTTGTCATACTTTTTGATGTACCTTTCCATGTTGCTAATTACCTGATAGTGACTAATGTAAGACCAAGGTAAGTAGTCACCCAGCACCAGTAATACCCTAAATTTAGGCTTATATATCAGAGTAATAAGGGAGTATTCAGAGTAATAGTAGACCTCTCAACTTTACTGAAGCAGAAAAGGAAATGCAAATTCTTATGAAATAATGTTCAACTTCCTTCATAGTAAGATATGCAAATTAAAATGGCAAAGATCAAAATATTTGAAGTTGCATTATGTTATATTACTGAGGGCATGAGGGAGAAGACACACATTGTAAATGGACATACAAGTTAGTAAGCTTTTTTGAGAGGATAATTTGGTATCAGTCAAAATCATAATGTACATGCACTTTAACCCAGTAATTCCACTTGTAGAAAATGATTTGATAAATATCCTAGCAGCTGTACACAGTAGATACTTTGCTGTATTCTTTTGTAATAAATAGCGTAAGGGTGGAAAAATCCAAATGTCTCACTTCTCACCAGTAAGAGCCTGGCTAAGTAAAGTATGAAAGAAAAGAATACCTGGTGATAGTTAAAAAGAATGAAGGGATTTATATGAATTGATATGGAACAATCTCTGAAATATATCAACTGAAAAAACAAGTACAGAATGTTGTTTATAATATCCTTTGGGGGGAAAGGTAGATACAATCATACATGTCCATACTGATATCTACTTAATAACACTTAATCCATGTATTACAAATGTATATATGTGTGTAGATATACCTATATGATCTGTTATACACACATTCACCATCTCTGGAAGGTTATGCCAGAAAACTCCCCTAACAGAGATTGCCTTTGCAAGGGGGGACCTAGGGAAATAGCAGACTGACTTTTTTACCTGTTGTTTTTACATCACTTTAATGTATTTTCTTATTCAAAAAATGCATAGGAATGTATATCTATACATAGAAATAAAAACAAAAAATAGATTTCAACTAAGAAGATTAATAGGAAATACAGTTTCATACTGAATTCTACAGAATCTGTGATAACCTCTGGATTCTAGAATAATTATACCATACCATTATAGGTGTCTAAATGTCTCAGTTAAGGAAAACTTGCAACCTGATTCAGAACCCCCACCCTGAATTGTCTTTGAATAATGAGCCCTGGATCTGTCTTCTAACATTCTGGCATCTTTCTCCATGATATTATTGTTGCTTCATGCATGTGGCAGTTGGAATAAGTAATTGTTATTTAGCAATACACCATAATATATTTATAATATTACATAGTTGTGTTGGAAAAGGTTTAAACTGAAAGAGCTGACCAATGTTGGTGACTTTTTTTTTTAAGCTTCCTAGTAAATAGGTTTGTTTACTATGTATTCTGGTACTCTTTGTTTTAGGCTCGAATGCTCATCACAGAAGAAAACCTGATGACCATTATCATTAAGACTTTCATGGATCATTTGAGACATCGAGATGCCCAGGGCAGATTTCAGTTTGAACGATATACCGCTTTACAAGCCTTCAAGTTTAAGAGAGTTCAGAGCCTTATTTTAGATCTCAAGTAAGCTTTTGTTTAATTATCAAACCAGTTGCAACTTGTAAAATGCCAGTGCTTATCCATATATTAATTGCTGGTTTTATCTTGTCCAGGTATGTGTTAATTAGCAAACCAACTGAATGGTCAGATGATCTGAGGCAGAAGTTCCTAGAAGGATTTGATGCCTTTTTGGAATTACTCAAATGTATGCAGGTATGCATAAACTGAAAAGGGAAATGCTCACTTTCCTTTTTCTTCTCTTTTTGTTCATTGAACACCTTTCTATGTATGCATTTTTTTTTCATTTTGGGCACATTTCCAAAACAATAATTTGGATGGCTACAATTTGGGCCAAAGAAGTTTCTCTTTAATTGAAGCTCTAGCTCTTAGAAAGGTGTAAAACAAATGAGATCCCAGCAAAGGTTCTGGCAGCTACTATTCTTCTGTAATTTGTTACTCTTTTGGTTACTATACACATTCTTTCTTTGGGATTATGAGTTTGTTTTTTAAATATGCTTACACGGAAATACTGTCAAGTTAGTTATTTGGAAAACTGTAGTATTTGGATTTTTTTTTAATATTTCCATTTTTCCTTTTCTTTCTTTGATGTGCCATTTATATAATAAGTACAGAACTTTTCTCCCCTCTATTTAATTCTCTTTTTTGGAAATACCCCCATATACAAAATAGAATCTAGAAGCAGAAATCAACTGATATATTTAATTAGTTTTAAGTGTAAGAAGATAGCTGACATCTCAAAATATCTGAGTAGTACCATTATGATTCCTTTAGTAGCCATCTGGCCTTCTTAAGAAAAGAAGCAGCAAAGTTAAACTATTGTTTTTAGAAAATACTCTAGTTCCTGTGTCAGGTAATGGTTCATAGGTGTTTAATTTATTGTAAGACTTATGCATTTGTTCTTGCATCTATAGAAACAATATCTACTTTGGTCATTTTGAATACTCAAGATATCCTGTATTTTCTATTTAATCAGTTCTGGTGCACCAGGGTAGTGTGAGGCTTAGCTTCTGAAAAGTGGTATTCTTTTGTATTAAAAGCTGTTACCTTTTTCTTGTTTTGCTTTCTTTCAGTCTCTATGAAAACTTAGTTGCAGATTAGGAGTAATTATGAAAACTTTATTCTAGTATATTATAAAGTAGATCTATAAATTCAATAACATTTTAAAAGCCTGTCAAGTAAAGTTTCAGAGAAACAACAATTTTTCCTGAAGATGATAGAGCTAAAAAAGAATTTGGTTTGTTGCAGTGAAGAATACATTTTATTGTCTAAAACATATACAAGATTGCCTCTAAAGCAATTTGTTCTATACTGGAATTTTTTAATTTATATTTTAGAGAATGTTATATAAACATGGTAATTTAAGAAGTTGGGTTTCTTATACTACTTGAAGCTTCCTGTTAAAACTTTTTTATTTTTGTAATCAATACATATTTCTTCTACATTATATCTTGTCTCCATGTAAGAGAACAAATGTAATTTTAATTCATTTAAAATCTTTTCACTTCTTTAAGGGAATGGATCCAATTACACGTCAAGTAGGACAACATATTGAAATGGAACCAGAGTGGGAAGCAGCCTTCACGCTACAAATGAAATTAACACATGTCATTTCAATGATGCAGGACTGGTGTGCTTTAGATGTGAGTTTCTTCTAGGTTGAGGAAATAGATAAATGGAGGAGGCTGGCAATAAACAGATTGCTAAGTAAATTTTGAGGAGATTTGGAGAGGATAGTGGTGATGCTTAGCTCATAAAACAGCATACTTTTACTCTGTCACTGATAAATTCAATAAAAGTTAAAATTCTGAAGCCTCACAGAAAATAACTTGGAAAATAGAAGAGAATATAATCCACATTTTCTCTTCTATTTTGAGCTTATAAAAAGAATAATTTATAAATTTATCCAAAAATAATGTTTTGCCATTGGTTACCTTTGTTCTGTATCTTGAAATTATTTTGGCCTCCCTTTGGCTGTACAGTCTAGATGAAAGCCTATGCAAGTTGAGTGGGCAGGGGAGACTTCCATGAGATCTGAGCTATGTGTCAGAGTAACTGACCAAAGAGTAAAGAATATTCCTGACTCTGGGATAGCTGCATCATGCTCTGTGGGTAAGGAGTACAGTTGTTCCAGGAGCTTTGAGAAGGCTCTGGTTGGAGAATAGAGGCTGAAGGTAAAAAAGTGAACAGGGGCCTGACCTTGAAGGGCCGTGGAGGCTGTAGAAAGTTTGGATTTTACTCTAATTGAAGTGGGACACCATTAGAAACTACCAAGCAGAAAAGTGATGTGATTCAATTCACATTTTTAAAAAAATTACCCTCTGTGGAGAACAGATAGAGGGGGCAAAAATAGAAACAGGGAATTTAATAGAGAGGTGGTTGGCTTTCCTTTGTGTTACTCAAGATAATCAGTGGCGGAGTTTGAGAGAAATTTGTAAGATGAAATTGCCAGCTTGGTAATAATAGATTGGACAATAGAGAATGAGGGAAAGGAGGGTATTATTGGAATCACTTCTAGATTCCAACAGCTATATAGAGATGTCTTTAAACTGGGGCGCTGGAGAGGGACCAAGTTGGTGAAGGCAGATTGAATTTGATTTTGCCCATATTGATATTTGACATCCTTACTCGTCATCATATTTAGGTGCTTTGATTCAATGTTGTAGAAAGTCAGTCTTTTGAGTAACTTATAGAAAACCCTCTTTTTTAGGAAAAAGTGTTGATTGAAGCTTACAAGAAATGCCTTGCTGTATTGATGCAGTGTCATGGTGGTTTTACTGATGGTGAACAGCCAATCACATTAAGCATTTGTGGACACTCAGTGGAAACTATCAGATACTGTGTTTCCAAAGAAAAAGTTAGCATTCACCTCCCAGTTTCTCGCTTACTTGCAGGTAAAGCAATTCTCCCTGAAAAAGAGTCCTGAAATTATCTTTTAAATTGTTTGTGGTTAATTTTTATTAAATACCCACTACACATTGTCATGAGAGTTTTCAATGGATTAGTTTATTTATCACATTGGCCTATGAAGTAGGTATTATTGTTTGCTTCACTGACAGGAAGACGGAATGACTTGCTTAGTGTCTTGCATCAAGAAAGAGTCAGAGTAGGAATTTTGAGCTAATTTGGCACCAGAAGCCATTTCCATAATGACTGTACCATAGTGCTTGCCTCTTCAGACCTCTTAACTGCAGAGAGCACACATTTTAGGTTTAACTCAACCCTGCTTCAAGTCTGTGTTGTTAAAATTCAAATCAGTCCATCACTTAAGTGATTGCTAATAAACTGATACCACTCTAGATTTTCTCTCCCTCTAAGCTAGTTCTTACTCATTTATTCATAACCTTTTTAAGCAGCAGATCAAGAGTGAGTCCCAAATTGAGGTGATAAGTAGTGGAATTACAAGCCATTTATACTTGGTAGAATATTTGAAGCTGCCACCTTGCATCAGTCAAAAATTTTGAATATGCATGTGTTCGTCTCTACCAACTCATTTCAGCACAGCTTCCTTCCATATTTCTTGATTGCAGGAATTCTTATCCTGCTCACACAACTGTTGTTCCCTTTAATCCCATTTTTAGCTCAGAGTAAAAAGGAAAAAGTTCTAAAGGTACATATTTTTACTTATTGCAGAATTTGTAATTTATCTCAAGTATGTGGCGCAGTAACTTAATATGATGTGAAAGTGTGTGTGTTTGTGTAAGAGACTGGAGAATTGCTATCATTTCTTCCTTAAATGTTTGGTAGAATTCACCAGTAAAACCATATGGACCTGATATTTTCCCTTTTTGAAAGTTTGTTAACTATTGATTCAATTTCTTTAATAGATACAGGCTGATTCTGATTACTTCTCTTTATGTGAGTTTTGGTATTTGTGTTTTTCACAGAATTGGTCCATTTCATCTAAGCCATCAAGTTTGTGGGCATAGAATTGTCCATATTATTCCTCTTTTATCCTTTTGATGTCCATGGGATCAGTAGTAATGATCCCTCTTTCATTTCTGAAAGCATTTGTTTCATTGTTCCAAAATTACCACATTATCCTACTGATAGTCTTGGATTCCAGCAGTCATAGATTGTTACTGAAATCGTGGTGATTTAAAATAACTTAGATATCTGAATATCAACTAGAGGAACAAATAAATACTTAGAATGAAATTGTGATTGTAGGAGGAAGTCTTATATTCCTATAACTCGTTCAGGCCCAATTTTTTTTTTGTAAGTGCTTTGAGCATACTGAACTGTTGATCCTCAACATAGGCAAGTGACAGCATCATGTCATAAAAAGTATTCAACTAGAGTACGGGAAAGTGGGTCCTGTCTCCAACTCAGCTGCTGATATTTTCTACCTTTAAAACTCTGAGTGGAAGCTGTTGATGAAAGTTATCCACAGGGACAGTAGTCAATACTCTGAAAATGTATTAATTTCTGCCGTCATCTTTTCCTCCCTCAAATCTCAGTGAACATTTTTGAGCATTCTGTCTCACTGTATTTGACAAATCTTGGCCTGAATGCTTAGTCTGTACTTGGAGAGCTAAGTAAGCACACACAAAACAGTTCAAGAACAACTTGGAGTGTGTGCTAATGGAGCTTGAGTGGCAAATGCTGAGTACAAGTTATTAGAATGGGATTCATAATGCAGGTTTTCCTGGACAAAGAAAGCCTCAAACTAGGCTTGACCAAGTGGCCACTATCTATCGATTAATTGTAAAAATCATTCTCTGTTTAGACAACATAAACTAGACAATTCTTAGTTAACAAAATTAACTAAGGTTGAGCTATAAAAGAGCCCTTTGCAGTTAGGAACTAATGAGGCTTCAATCCTAAACTGGAAGTCCTAGGGAACTTAATTCTGAGGTCAGGATAAGTGCAGACAGTGAATCCCAGGGCCAGTTTCTCTGTTCAGTTGCCAAAAGAAACAGTCTCTTCTACTATACTTTAAATGAGAACAAACTCCATGGCCCAGAGAAATATGACTCTTAAAATTTACATACCATTTATAAATTGCTTTGATTTTTAATAGTTGATATAGCTGCTTTTGTTACGTTTGTCTAACATTTACTTCTATAAAATGTCGTCAGTGTATGTTGTTGATATATGTAATTAAGACTCTAGTTCTAAATGTACCTTTGATGCAGAAGTTCTTGAGAAATAACAATTTGAAAAGCTTCATTCATGGATGCTATTCATTTTTATATCTTAGTTTGTAATATACCTTCTCAAAGAGAAAGAGAAAAGAAGTTAGATGTAAAGTTGAGTGAATATTTCAGACTTTTTTTCCGAAATGATTTTTACTTATAGAAATACCTTTTTGTTTATTGTTCCGTGCAGGTTTGCATGTATTATTAAGCAAAAGCGAAGTGGCATATAAATTTCCAGAGCACCTACCTCTAGTAAGTAGTACTAACATTTAAAAGTAAAGACCTCTTTATTATGTTTCATGTATTTGAAATAACTTTGAAACAAACTTTTTTAGGGTGCTCCAGAGAAAAGAACCAATAAAGAGAGAGAGTGTGTGTAGAGAGAAAGAGACAGAAAGAGATTGATTTATTGTAAGGAATTGGCTCACACAGTTATGGGGCCTGGAAAATCTGAAGTAAGCCTGCAAGGCAGCCCAATAGGCTACAGACCCAAGGAAAAGTTGATGTTGCAATCTGAAGTTCAGAGGCAATCTAGAAGAAGAATTTCTTCATCTCTGGGAGGACCTCAGTCTTAAGGTCTTCAACTACTTTGATGAGGCCCCACCTACATTATTGAGAGTAATCTGCTTTACTCAGTCTACTGATTTAAATATTAAATCACATCTACAAAATACCTTCACAACAACCTCTAGACTGGTTTAATAAAAAACTGGGTACCATGGCCTAGCCAAGTTGACACATAAAATTAAGTGTCACACAAAAGTACGTTAAAATAACTTTAACTTGTGTTTTATATAAAGCCTCTGTCCCTATCAGCCAGTCTTCTTTATGGAGTTGAAGTTTTTGTGTGTTTTTGTTGTTGTTGTTGTTTATACAGAGTGAACTTAGCCCACCCATGTTGATAGAACATCCTCTTAGATGTCTTGTTTTATGTGCCCAAGTACATGCAGGAATGTGGAGAAGAAATGGGTTCTCTCTAGTAAACCAGGTAAGTATTTTTGAATTCCGTAGAAAGTTTTTAATCCATTCCTTGACTTTTATGAAGGTTGTAATTCTCAATATACTTAAGTCATTGAAAACAGTATCTCTATTAAAATTGTTTGAGAAGATAAATGTAAAAGTAAACCAAAAAGTTTTTTAGAATTTTTTTTTTTGATATTACTGATCTACAATTACATGAAGAACATTATGTTTATTAGGCTCCCCCCTTCACCAAGACCCCCCACATACCCCTTCCCTTAGGCTCCCCCCTTCACCAAGACCCTCCCACATACCCCTTCCCTTTTAGAAGTTTTATTTGTACTTTGTCAAAAAGTAATACCAAAAGTAGAAATGAACTTAATTTTAGAACAAAGTTGGATATTTAAAAAACTATAATAATAAGAATTAAGATTTCATATACTTAAATAAAATTGGATTAAGAGGTACAGTACCATTGAATAGCTCTGAAATTGAGGTTTTAATTCTTAAACCTCACCAAGGCGTGGTATATTTTTTTATTAATTCCCCATTTTGGTAGTTATCAACCTTACTGAAACAACTTTCTTGGGAGTCCCAGAAAGTTGGCTACAAAATGTGAGCCATAGAATGACCAATGTAATCTGGAAATTTCTAATTAATTACTAAGATACTAAAATAAAAGGTAGTGTTAACTATCAGGGAACCATACTGTGTTGTGTGTGTGCACACACACACGCATGCACACATGTCACATGCTAGCACAAAACTCATGTACCCTGAGGGTGTGGATAGAGGAGGAACTGCCCAAATAAAAGCCTGTTTACCCAATATAATTAATTTTTTTTTTTTTAGATCTATTACTACCATAATGTGAAATGCAGACGTGAAATGTTTGACAAGGATATAGTAATGCTTCAGGTAATGAATTAAAAGCATTAAACTTAAAGGTTGTGAGGAGTGTTTTTCTTGTTATTTCCATGGAATCAAATCACTTATGATCACTCCCAAATCTATAATTCCAGCCTAGCTCTAATTACTAAGCTCCAGACTCTTATGGCTAACAGCCTATAGAACATTTCCATCTAGATTTCCTGCACACAACTCAGATTTAACATATCCAAAATAACTCCTCTTACTTCCCCCATACCTTTTTCCTATCTTGGGTTCTCTACCTTGGTGAATTGTTCAGCAATCTCTAGGGTTGTTAAAGCCAGAAACCTAAAAGCCATTCATTCTTCTTTGTCCTATAGTAAAAGACCCAAAACCCTTAAACTGATTTTTAAGCCCTACAATACTTAACTATTGCCATTCTCTGTCCAAAGTCTCAGAATGCCATGCTCTCATCTAAGTCTTAAATGCTGCACATTTCTTTTGTTCCTTAGAATCCCCACCCCACTCACTTCCTTTTCCATTTACTTAGTAATTTATTTTCTGCACGTGTTAGTGTTTAGTGTCCCTTTCTCCAGGAAGCCTTCCCTGACACACTAAAATGTGACTAAATATCCCTTTTGGGAGGGCACATAGCATGGTGGCTTATCCCCATAGCATTCATAACTGGATTGTGGTTGCTTGGTTACTTTTGTCCCTTCACTAAAACATGGCAACTGTATCTTGGTCCCTTTTTGTCCATTGTGCATAACACAATAGTTGTCACAGTAGTTTTTTCATATTATTGCTGAATGGATTTAGAAATTACAGAAAAATTATATAATGTAAATCTGAAGAAAAAATTGTTGGTTCAAAATAAAAATCCAAGTTGATTCAGAATTTATACTAATGGAATTAAAGGAGAATCGAAACTAATATCTGAAAGTTGTCACTTCAGTTAATACAGTTTTTATCAATAAAAATTAGTTTGAGGGTTCTTAATAAGAACTAATATGGTATGTGTAAAAAAGAGTAGAAACTTAGTGGCCATACCACATTTCTCTCAGAGTCCATACACCAGACAGTGATAAGAGAACCTAGAAGTCAAACTTAAGAACTGAATTCATCGGAATACAATTAATTTAAAGTATTAAAAGGAAAGAAAACACACAATCCATGTTATTCTGATATGTAAAAATAAACATTTTTACCAGCTAGATTCCTGTCCAGACTTGTAACTACCAAAAGTTGGGATTGAGGCTAAATGGGTTTCTTTGATTAAGATTGGTAAACAAGTAGGCTGCTTTCTCTTGTGCAACCAAAATATCTCTCACTAATTGTTTAGCAGATCTTTTGACCTTCCTCTTTTCCTTTATCTCAAAAAAAAAAAAAAAGACAGGTGTCTCCATGATGGATCCAAATCATTTCCTGATGATAATGCTCAGCCGCTTCGAACTCTATCAGATTTTCAGTACTCCAGACTATGGAAAAAGGTTTAGTTCTGAGATTACCCATAAGGTAAGAGCATGTTTTATGAGACCACACACATCATTCAAGGAACATCTGTCATTCTTTTGGGTTGTTAAACATCTGAGATAATACAGTATTTGCACTCTTGTCTCTGAACTTCATCTCCCTCCATTTGTTACAGGATGTAGTTCAGCAAAACAATACTCTAATAGAAGAAATGCTGTACCTCATTATAATGCTTGTTGGTAAGTTTGAATTGTTGGAGGCATTTATAAATTATATAGGCTTTTGTGATAATAAGTAGTTCAGAATTTCTGAACTATGTTTCTTTTGAGTGGTTACTCATTTTTAGGGAAGGGAGATTAGCAGATCATCTTTTTCTCCCGTCTGGTAACTGTAATGTTGAGAGTAACCACACTGTCATGCTTTGGAAAAAGGAGAGGGTACAACAGCTGAAACATAATAAACTGGGAGAATCTTTGTTTTGAAGCAAAAAAGAAAGCAGGAGAATTTTTTTTTTTAATTAAGGTGTCATTGATACACAATTTCATGAAGGCTTCACAGGAACAACATTGTGGTTTCAACATTCACCCAGATTATCAAGTCCACCCCCACCTGCCCCTTTGCAGTCACTGTCTATAAGCATAGTAAGATGCAACAGAGTCAGCACTTGTCTTCTCTGTGCTGTACTGCCTTCCCCGTGACCTACCTATATTGTGACAGGAAAGGGGGAGAATTCAGTAAGCAAGACTAGCATATTAAGAAACTATTTACTTTTAGTGTGTATCTTAACTATCTTTCCCTCCATGGTTTTGTGATGCAAAAGTGTCATTCTTGCCTTCAAATATATAATGCCAATTTAATAGAGATTTATGGCTAGTAGATGCAGATTTCTTACTGCCTTTATTTTCAGGCCTATTGCCTTCATCTTTCTTACCCTTTTATCCTTTACCTTCTCCCACCTCCACTGCTATATTAAACTCTCTGCAGTCCATAGAGCAGAAAGCCCTGGCTGGCTGCTGTCAGGAGGTTATACCAATGAAGGTCTCAGAAGGTAATATCTTATTTCCCACTAAATAGAAGGACAGAGGAAGGCTCTCCCTTCCTGCTGCCATGTGCTAGATGGCATGAGAACAGTTCCCTAAGCTACTGATGCAACTACTGCTGTACCAGTTCGTAACCACATCTGATCCCTCCCCACCTTCTGCTCCCATCCTTTCAAAATAGCATCTAGAGTTCTCTCTTCCTGCTGAAAGCCTTCCCTCACCTGTTGTATCTGAGACTCAGAAGTATGGTTGGGAGCTGCTCCTGTTCCTCTTGTTGCCAGAACAGTCATTGTTTTCACATCATGCAAAAAGAAAAATAGAGTGTGTTGCGTGGATTTAAACTATACCACATAAGTATTGTGATTATGTTAAATGTGTGTGTATATACTTTTTCATCATTGACAGGAGAGAGGTTTAGTCCTGGAGTTGGACAAGTAAATGCTACAGATGAAACTAAGCGAGAGATTATCCATCAGTTGAGCATCAAACCCATGGCTCATAGTGAATTGGTAAAGTCTTTACCTGAAGATGTAAGTAACTACATATTTTAAAAGAAAATTATAGAAATCCTTCCCTCCCTGTTAGTCTAGTATGTATAGATTTACTTCTGTACACCTTTTCCACAATTGTAAAACTATAGTATAAGACATGTATAATTCAAGTCATTCTTATTAGAAATAATTAGAAAAAGAGAATACTAGGGACTGGTATAGAAACAGAATCTTTTACAGTGAAGCCTTGAGAGAACTAAGGGTGCTGAATAAAAGGAAACCTGGTCCTTAAATCTGAATTTATGTATCCTTTAGAGAGAGGTTGTTACAATATCTTTAATAAAAAAAGTTGCAGTGAGTAGAGATAATGCTTTATAACCTAGTGAGGAAAAGAGTGAGAAATAAAGTTTTCCAGAGCCTTTTCCTTCTGCAGTATGCAGAGATTCTCCTTAGGGAGCCGTCTCTCTCAGTGTAGTGAATGGAGTAAGACTCACCTGGGCACTCATAGATTAATTGTAACTGTTTTTCCTCCCAGGATCTTAAGTTCCTCAGCTACCTATTTTTCAGCGTTGGGGCTTCTTAGAAAGCCAACACTTAACCACTAGGAAAGGACTTTATTTTCATTGAGACTTTACAAAATTTTTCCCAAATCAGAAACATAGGTTAAATTTTCAACCTTAATGTTCATCATTCTTCTGGGATTTAAACCTGTATTTATTGCATAGTAATACTTCTTATAAACTTTGTAACATGAAAATTTCAAACATCTATAGAAGTAGGAAGCATAAATGAACCCATCACCAGCTTCAACAGGTGAGCAGTCTTGTTTTACCTGTACTCCAACCACTAATCCCTGTTCCCCCACTGGATTATTTGTAGAGAATACCAGGTTTTACCATTTCATCTGTAAACAGAATTGTTTACATCTAAAGCTCTCAACCAGGGACCCTTTGACAATTCTGCTTACTCGGGGTGTGTGGTACTACTGGCATCCAGTGAGCACTGGCCAGGGAGACGGGTAAACACCCTGCATGCTCAGGGCAGTCCCCACAACAAGAAATCATCTGGTCCAGTGTCAGGAGTGGCACAGCTGAGAAACTCAACTGAAAGATAAGGGTTGTAAGAAAACCTGTCTACTCATGTCATAATCATACCTAAAAAAACAAACCCAATAATTAATAATTTCATAAAATCACTAAATATCCAGTCAGGATAAAAAACTTATACTTTTTAATTCAGAAAATGAATCCTGAGTTGTTAGATGAGGAAGCAGTTATACTTTCACTTAGACTTTAAAATAAGGGAGAATAAAATATAAAACAGCATTTTAAAATACGCCTTGTTCAAAGTGATCACAATTATATTGACCAAACATTTTTGACCAGAGAATTCTTTATTCACAGAAATCCTATTAATCCCTATTATGAATGGGATATGATTTGTGAAATGCTATTTTACTAAAAATAGATAAGAAATCAGTGTAACTATTTTATAAAATATTACAAATTATCTTACATAAGTTTTGTTTAAATGCGTGTGCTTTGTTTTTAATTTAATCCCTTTGTGCTATCACCTTGATTCATATGGTAGTGACTTGTTTTCAGTTATATCAATATGAATGAGTGCTAGCTTATCAAATAAGTTTCCCTGATTGTATACTAATCATTCTATTTAATTATGCAATTCTCATCTATAAAAACTGGGATAATAATATGTCCACTTTAGTGAGTTGCTGTGAGGCTAAATGTAATAAAACTGCAGTGTTCAAAACGCTAGCAGATACTGTTACTAACATGAAACATTTATTTCTATGCCTTTAGGAGAACAAGGAGACTGGCATGGAGAGTGTAATTGAAGCAGTTGCCCATTTCAAGTGAGTTTACTTGCTATTTTTTTTCATGTTCAAATTTTTTTTATACATTCCTTTTTCTTATGAGTGTTTCCCTTTATGAAACTGAGAATGAAATTGTTGCTTTCAGACACTGACACTTTCAGAAATATAATTCTGAACTATATTTGTCACTGACATTTCACTTTTATGGTCTTGCCCTGTGCTCAGCAATGTAAAGTAGCTTTATAAGAGTTTCTGTTGTACTCAGAATAGGTGTTTGTGTATGATAATTTAAGATAATTGAAATTAACCCAAGTAAATGCACTCTTAAAATTGCTTCCTTTGTTTCCATTTGTAATATGATTGCTGCCTTCTTTAACCTCCATTGTGTTGCCCAATCAATAAACTAGTTTATACCTTAAAGTTGTTAAGGTTGATTTTTTTTTGCAATGCTAATTTTTTTTTAATATTGGTGATATACAATCTTACATTGTTTTCAAAAATACAACACAGTGTTTCAACAGTTACCCATATTATTATTTTTTTTTTCCCTTAACCTCGTGCTTTATTTTTTAAACAACCTGAGCAATTTTACATTTAATGAAAACTTACAGGTAAAGCTAAACACATACGGACTGCATTAAAACAATAAAAGTATTGCACAAATTGTGGTTACCCATATTATTAAATATTCACCCCGTCCAGTACAGTTACTGACTATCAATGTAGAAAGATGTTACAGTCATTAATTATATTTTTCTTGCTATACTGTCAAGGTAGATTCTTAATCTTGCTTTTTTCCTTGCTCCCACCTCGATGGCAATGTCTTTATTTTTGTTGATTATAAAGCATGCTTTTAGAGAAAATACAGAAAAAAAATATAGAAGACATTCTCTAAACCCTAAGAGTGTACCTAGTTTTTCCCACTTGGTAGAACTTATCACAGATACCTTTACATGTCAACATAGAGAAATTAACATCATTTTTACTGGTGTTCAGTTGTTTGGCAATGCCATTAGTGTATAAAATCTATTCCCTGTTGTAATAATTTAAATTGTTGTCACTACAGTGACCATCACATTCACTTGTCCAGGTAGCATATAGTCGAAATGGGCCTGCTAGATAAAATGGGTACACGTAGAGCTTCGGATGTAGATTTACATATTAATCCACAGAAAACAGTACCAGTTTATACCACCAGCAGTGTATGAGAGCTCTGCTTTCTTACTCTGTTATCTCTGGCTGTCTCATGTATTAGTGTAGGGCTTCAGTAAAGCTTAAGGACCTTTTTATCTTCATAGGAAACCTGGATTAACAGGACGAGGCATGTATGAACTGAAACCAGAGTGTGCCAAAGAGTTCAACTTGTATTTCTATCACTTTTCAAGGGCAGAGCAGTCCAAGGTAATTGGGAAAATTAAAAGTATACTGGGGTTTGGGGTTTCTTTTTTCCCCTAAAAAAACTTCTACTGCTTTTCAAAGATTGAAAAAGAATACATTTTTACTGTAGGAAATTTGAAAACTATAAAAAGTTATGAAAAGGAGAAAATACAGATTACCTATAATAATACCACCAACACCAACACTTGGGTTTTCCCCCTAGTGTTCTGTGCGTATATATATATATATATATAATACATACATTTTACATTCATTTCAGAATTGCTATTACTCAACATTATGCTTTTCCATAGTGATTTATGGAATTTTCCTAATCGTTCTTAGCTAGTTAAATTTTGCCTTTTAGCAGTTTACCCTTGAAATACCTTTTCAGTAAATAGCATTAAATAAAATATGAATGTAAAGCTTTTTAGTTTTTGATGCATGTCATAAATCTTATATCATAATAAGTTTTTGTTTGTACATGTTTCCCCTGTATTTTAAAGCAAGAAAGAACCCACTGAGGAATTCTTTTAGTGGGGGAAAAAGAATTAACCTTGATACATCAATTTAGGGAGAACTACAAAACTAAGGATAAAAATCTTCCAAAATCAGAAGATAATGAGACAAAGATTAACTTTTATCAGGTACTTGTTTTGGATATTTGGTTGTTTTTAATTACTAATTCCCTGTCCAAATTACTTCCTTTTTTATTAGGCAGAGGAAGCGCAGCGGAAATCAAAGAGACAAAATAGAGAAGATACAGGTATTTTTAATTTTTCCAAAAAATTTCATGTCTGTTTCTTTTACTTTTTAAACATTATTTTCTATTTACTCTGATGATTATCCTTGGTGAAGTAGAGATTTAAATATAAGCTTTCCAAATGAACATTCAGAGAACTAATAAATATCCTAACACGGAAATGGTCTGTACTGGGTCACCTCTGGATTAATGGTTTTATCTCAGATCTTAAGAAATTTCTAGGAGAAATAAAGGCTTTCTTTTTTACTGTTGGTATTTATGTAGCTCTTTTTATGCATTTGATTGACCTTGAGAAGGCAAAAAAAACAGCTTAAATATTCTTTGAAGACTGACCAAAGTATATAATAAAGGGATAATTCTTTTTTTTAAGCATGTTCTACCAAAATAACAATAATAATAATTTTACTTTTAGCTCTTCCACCTCCAGTTTTACCTCCATTCTGCCCTCTGTTTGCAAGTCTGGTTAACATTTTACAGTCAGATGTCATGCTGTGCATCATGAGAACAATACTGCAGTGGGCTGTAGAACATAATGGATATGCCTGGTCTGAGTCCATGCTGCAAAGGGTAGGACTGAAGACATTTATTATTTATATGTTAATGGATTTTTTTAAAGTAAAAATAATCCAAAAAATAAAAGCCAAAATACTCTTGTTAGTATCTGTATACAGAAAACAACAAAATGTACTGTAGTGTTACCTTAATTTGAAATACAGCATATTGTAGTTTATCACATCCAGGTAGACTTTTTATACTACATGGTTGTGACTACCTTGGTTTTGTTGGCAAGCCAGGCTCTCATTGACTGGTCCTGATATGTCTTAATTTATGCAGTACTCTGATATTTATATAATGTGTTATCTTTGACAAATGTTTTTCATTTAGTTCTCACAAAACCTGTGAGTTCATCAATATCTGTATATTGCAACTGAAGAAACTGAAATTCAGAGATTTACGGTCCTATAGTTAGTAAGTGACAAATCTAGAACCTTGCTTATATTTTACTTTATAGCTTTAATGTATGTCATTCTTAAATTATTATCTTATTGAATTCATAAAATATCCTTATAAGTAAATAAACTTTTCCATTGTATAGTTGAGAAAGTGATTTGCAGTGTGGATTCAATTTAATTTGTCCATGTTAGTTAACTGGTAACATAATAGAAATTATTCAGTTGATAAAATCAACTCTAAAGGGAAACTGTTTTGGGTTTTTTGGTGAAATTAGGTTTAGAGAGATTCCCTGAGGGCATGTAGCTTCAAAGCAGTGAAGCCAGGATTCAGATTAAAGCCAGCATTCTTCCAGAGCCTTCCTCCAAAACTGCTGTCCATTGTCTCAGCAGTCTCAAGTTTTTATTGGCCAAGACATGTGTATATTTACATCTCCCCCCATTTACAAACATACCTTTAAGATAAAAAAGCATGAGGCTGTGGTATGCTGGAGACCATCAGTATTATATGAGCAAAAGATTTGTGGGAAATGATGGAGGAAAAAAGAGAGAATAGTATTTACCATATGTAAATTTACCATTTGCTTTGTCATTCAGGCTAACCTAGTTCCTCAAGTTTCTGACAAGCAATATAGCTTCTTTGTGTAGAGCAAGTTGCATATCCACACACATATCTCATTCAAAAGTTGGGATGATCAGGATAATGTCAAGAAAAATGCAAATAGATTCAGTATAGCTATATATTTTCTTAAAAGTCTAGTTAAGAGTTTTTTGTCAAGTATGCTGAAGAACTGTAAATATCTTTATAAATTATGTGACATTAGAGAGACAAGTATGTCTCTTTCTGTGGTGATTGAGATTTTTAGTCCTTAGAAATTTAACTAGGTAGTATTATAGACCAGTTAATTATGTGATAGATGCTTTCAGCTCTAATTGTTTGGCCACTGATTCTTAGAAGATTTTTAGGACTGTGGTGTAGAGATGGAACAAAACTGAAAATTATATATTATGTGAATTCCTGGTCACATCTGGTAATAATTTTAACTTACCCTAAAAATTTGCCATATTTCATTTTCTTCCTAACTGAAATAGAAATTTTTGTTCCTTGCTGAGAATTCTTTATTAGAAAATGAACCTTAGAGTTTGAATTGAATAAAAATTAGTTCTCCAAATTGTTTTTATTGCACTTAGTCTTTAATAGTTTCTCTCTTTTCAGTAGTGAATTCTTTTTTGTTATTTCTTATAAAAATATGTACTTGACTTTTGTTTTACTAAAAGTTACAAAACATATTGTATTTGAGGTGTTACATTTAATTGGAATGGCACTACAAGAAGAAAAACAGCATTTAGAGAATGTCATGGAAGAGCATGTAGTAACATTTACCTTCACTCAGAAGATATCAAGTATGTATATACTTTTTACTAAACTAACTCAAGATATCAGTGATTTTAAATATGTAATATCACCTCCTTTATTTGATCATGTAAGTTCTAAATAGGTTATATTGAATCCACATTTATAAGGCTATATGTGTTCATCTATGTATTAAAGGTACTATATCAGATCCTGATAATATTTTTATGAAAATACTGAGAGCCTACACATACTTAAAATATGTAAATTTTAATTCATAAACAGAAAAAATAATAATAAGTCCTTAGTTTTAAATCAGTAAAGCACATACATTTAAACTCTCAGATACACTCTTAAAAACAAAGTATGATATCAAGATTTCATTTTTAAATTATTGCAGTTATCTTATAAAAGCATACTGAAAATAAGAAAATTAGCTATGCAGGATTAGATTATCATTTTATATAAAGTAATGTGACTTTTTTTAGAAGGCTGTGGATGGAGGTGTTTTTTCTAGCTTTTTATTAATAAAAATTTTAAATACATAGACAGCTGAAAGAGCTGTAGTGAACATCCATATGCCCACCACACAGCTATTTGAACTGATATCAAATATCAATATGTAATGTCAGATATATATATATATGATATGATATTCAAAATATATCAGGTAATATTTTGCTGTATTTGCTTTTATAATTGCATGTTTTCTTGAACCATTTGTTTTAGACATCATAATACTTCACTTCTAAAGAGCTTTTCCTTTACTAATTTTCAAAATAAGCATTTGGTCTAAAGTTACCTGTAATGGTGGCAAATGAGTCTTTTTTGTTTGTTTCAGATTTTTTTTTTCTTCAAATATTACTCATGAGTTTTTATTTATTCAGTGTTTTGTAGTCAGTTACAATCAGTATTCCTTTTGGTCCTCAAATTGCCAATTTCAGTCAGTGGGAGTCTGTTCAGTTGGCTTCTGTGTTCTTTGACCCAGTGCCATTGGTATTTGAGCACCACCTTGCTTTCTGGCACAGGTGTCTCAGGCACATCTTGGACTTTCCCTGCCCCAGATCCAGAATCGGCCATTGGCTGAGGTGTTTAAATTAATTTACAATGATATGGTAGGAGTCTATGAATTCTTTAATTGCAAAGAATTATTTCTGTAACTTTGTTTAGTGTTGTGTTTGCTGCCATTTCTTCCTAAAAAAATAATGGCTATGAGAATATTAGGTTCTGTGGGGTGGGGGGATGGGAGGTGGGCAGAATAGTCCTGTTTGCTGCTGGATCTCTATTTTTCCCTTTTTGCCCTCATCCAGGTAGGTAAGTGGAAGGAAGAGGAAACTGCCCTTCCTCACTGGAGAAGGGTGCCAGCCCTTCCCTACTCTTTTTCTATGCCAGTATTTCTTCCTGTGGATTAACATTGTATCTTTGGCCTTCTTTATCTCCAGTGTTTTTACTTTAGGATAACCATACAGAAATCTCCCTAATTTCATTCACTCATCAGTATGCAATCTCAGGTTCTCTTACTTTCCCTTTTTTTCTTTTTCTTCTTCCTTTCCTTGCTTTTCTTCCTTTCTCTGTCTGCTTTTTACTGTTTTCTCTGAACATTCCCATATGTCTCTTGAAATGTTGTATATAATTAAAACACACTATTTAGAGTCAGATTCCTAATCCCAAGCCATGGATATTTAGATCTGGAAGAATTTTAAAGACCACATAGTTCAGTCACTTCCCCTCTTAGGGAAAAGGGACATTCTGCCAGAATGGAAGTACTTAAATCAAGAAAATCAGTAGTTGGACATTTCTAACTCTAAAACTAAATTAGCTAATACTGGGTTAAATGTACTCTTGAGACTGTGGACTTCACTTTTATATCTTTTCCTCAAATAAATAAATGATTTATATAGAAAGAAATTCATAATTTAATTTGAATTTAGGTTCTATTAAAGCAAAGGTCAAAACAGATAAATTTTTATACACATGCACCCTCAAATCTTAATTTATTTTCTTAGACTTGTAAAATTTCAGGTAAACCTTTAGCTGGGTTTTTATTTAATTTTGCCAAAGGCTGTGGGAAATAATTATTTGGTATAAGATGCTGGTTTTGAATGATTGAAGCATTCTAGCTGTTAACTTTTTGTAAAGTGCCAATATGCCATATTCTCAAGAAGTATTGAAAATCTTTAGTCAGTAGAGCTGTAATCAGATGATGGGCAAATAGCATCATAAGCAACCTCATTTATCTTGTACACAGTAACCAGGACTGTGAAGTTTTATCTGTTGTTATTGTGCCTTTTATTTTTTCCACCTTAGAACCTGGTGAAACACCACACAACTCTCCTAGCATATTAGCTATGCTGGAAACACTACAAAATGCTCCCTACCTAGAAGTCCACAAAGATATGATTAGGTGGATATTAAAGGTAAAATTTTTTTCATCACTCTGCTTTTTGTGAGAAACATTAAATCTGTTATCTTTAAGTTTTGATGTTTCATAGCTTCAAAGTAACTGATGCTTTTTTTCCCTAGACTTTTAATGCTATTAAGAAGATAAGGGAGAGTTCATCTGCCAGTCCTGTGGCAGAGACAGAAGGAACCGTAATGGAAGAGGTATAAGAAGTAAAATGTAATACTGAAAAATTGTAGCAAGTTCACTATGAACAGTTAATTTTGTCTTCAATAAGTTGGTACTTGATGTTATTCACAAAAATGTAAATTCTAAGAAATGTGCCACTATTTGTTTATCTTTATTTGTTGTAGCAACTTTTTTGTTCTTTTTTTTTTTTAAAAAAAACAGGTTAATTCAGAAGTCATTTCTCTTGTATAGATATGTGAGATTGTAGAGTAGTTTTTAATTAGTATTTACAATAAAGATATTTCTGCTTTGGGGGAAAAAAATGTGCATTTAGCATCTAATGGGCTAATTAAATGAAGCATAATTTCAGAATTCAAGAGACAAAGACAAAGCTGAGAGGAAGAGAAAAGCCGAGATTGCCAGGCTGCGCAGAGAAAAGATCATGGCTCAGATGTCTGAGATGCAGCGGCACTTTATTGATGAGAACAAAGAACTCTTTCAGCAGACATTAGAACTAGATGCCTCCACCTCTGCTGTTCTTGAAAATAGGTAAAAATTAATCAAAAAATTTTAATCTCTTGACCAGTGGCTCTCAACTGGGGAAGATGTTGCTTTTTTTCCTTATAAGTACACTTTTAATCCTAAAGTGATTTAGAAGAATTGATGGATAAATTTTTCTAATTAGAGGAATTAATCTTAGAAATCTGAGTTTATATTTTTGTATCTCTGTAGATAACTGGTGTATGCTTAAAATTGTATGTTACACAGAAGACCCTTGACATTCATAAAAGAATGAGTACACTAGGCTTAGTTAACTGAGAGTCTGGATTCTGTGTTGCATATTGGATTGCTGTGAGGATTACAGGAAATAATTTTGATACATATGAAAGACTTCTAGCAATTCAAGTCATCAAAACCATATGTTAAATATGTACATACCTGGAGTCTGCTGTTACATGATTATATAGAAACTTCCTAAGCTCATTAATTACACTAACCTTTTTATTGCAGCCCTATGGTTTCAGATATGACACTTACAGCATTGGGCCCAGCACAAACTCAGGTCCCTGAACAGAGACAATTTGTTACCTGTATATTGTGTCAAGAGGAGCAAGAGGTGAAGGTGGAAAGCAGGGCAATGGTCCTGGCAGCATTTGTTCAAAGATCAACTGTATTATCAAAAAACAGAAGTAAATTCATTCAGGATCCAGGTCAGTCATAGCAAGATCCTCTACTCCCTATTAGTAATAACTACCACTTAGTGTGGTACAGAAATTTTATCAATCTAATAACTCCATAGGCTTAGTGGGATCTTAGGCAGGAATCCCCCGTTTGACAGATGTGAAAACACTCCAGAAGGCTAAGTATCATCCCTAAATTACACAGCTGGTAAATAACAGGAATTCAAAAAACATTAGCACACTTTGGTACTTAATGATCTTTCCCATTCTTCAACATATTTAAAAAGTCCTAATAAATTAGCTGACACACTGAAATAACAATTATTTTGTCTCATGGATTGATCCCAAAGTGCAATCTCTTGAGAACACCTGTATGAGTTACCTATGCGAGAAGCAATCCTTGAGCCAGATTCTGATTTAGAGTAGAGATAATATTGCAGATAGGGTTCCCCTGAAAGCAGACTCTCGATACTTGATACTGCCATGCAGGATATTTATTAGGGAGAGCCTTGGGATCAGTCAGCCTTGGAACAGAGTACAAGGAAACAGGTTTGGGCAAAGAGAGAAATTGAGCTATAATGCAGTCTTACAAAATCGTCGGCTAATCCCCACTATGGGAGCTCTGGAGCCGGATGGCCTTTCAGAGGTGTCCTGAATTGGGGCATGTGGGTGGGCTTGATCTTTGTAACCCAGCACTGACCAGTGACTGGTTGTGGGCCGCTCTGCAGAAAGGTATTACCTTGAGCAAAGCAGTTGTCTCTTAAAAAGGATTAACAGTGTATTGCCCTCTTCCAACTACTGAGGGAGCAAATCATTCATTCCTGCAGGGGCAGCTAGGTTGCACATTACTGTGTCTACCACAGACACTTTTATGTCTCCTCTTAGACATGTTTATATGTCCATATGCCTCAGCAATACCTTCTCTTAAAAAGGATTAACAGTGTATTGCCCTCTTCCAACTACTGAGGGAGCAAATCATTCATTCCTGCAGGGGCAGCTAGGTTGCACATTACTGTGTCTACCACAGACACTTTTATGTCTCCTCTTAGACATGTTTATATGTCCATATGCCTCAGCAATACCAGTGAACTTCTTGAGAGTAGGAGCTGTGTCGTAGGAATTTCCAAAGCATTTATTTAGCCAGTGCCTTTCACATTATAGAATTGAAGGGAGATTTGAAAGGCCACTGGTAAGATTACTTTTTCTCTGTAAGGAAAATCTTCACAGTGTGGCTCTCAAGCACCTAGTTAAGAAAGACTAGTCTGCTTCATCTTTAAAATGATTATTTGAACTAGGCAATTTATAAATCTCATTCCAGGCTGAAGATAAAGTCACTAATTTTATTTAATCTTTAAATAAATTCACCAATTTCATGAGGAAAAAACTTTGGCTGGCTTTAATTGGATTTTCCAAATGCTTTCACAATTTATGTCAAAAAAGATTTTCTTTGTGCTGTGACATTTGCGCTATTATATAAGGCACATTGAAATTTGATTCTTTCTCAAATGTTATGGAATTTCTAAGATTATACTAATTTACATAGAGAATTCAAGAAATTCCAAAAGAAGCCAAGTACCCATCTTGTTTGTTCACTTTTCATCTTCTTCAAATATAAAAAACTAGCACCAGAACCGAAGACTGAATTGCCCTGTTTTCCCCCTCGGGCATGGGCTGCGCCCCTGGGTGCTTCGCTGCCACTTTGGCTCTGGTACAGGGATTGTTACTGTTCTCTATATGAGTGTCTGTAGGCAGAATCTTCTCTAAGGAGGGCCCCATTACTGCCAAAACATCTTTTTTGGTAGAGGCTGTGGTGACCCAAATGTCCTGAAGGTATTAGAGACAACCCTGTGAAGAATATCCTAGTACTGAACATTCAGGACTTTTGGAAGGAATGGAAGTCTTCAGCACCCTGAAAGTGTGAAGCATCAAAAAATGAGATATACTTAAATATGGAATTCCAATTTCAGTTAACAGTTCCTGGACATTTAATTTGCTCAGGGGGATGAAAATTAGGGGGCTGTATTCTAAATAATCCAGGGTCTTGCATAAATTAATGACATTTCAAATGAAAGGAATAAGCTAGCATTTCAAGTTTACTAATGCTTCAACAAGGATTTCACAATTTAAAGTTGTGTATTTGGAATAAGATAATTAAATACTTGGTTTTTTTGTATTGTCTTTTGTTTGTTTTGTAACGCAGAAAAATATGATCCATTATTCATGCACCCTGATCTGTCTTGCGGAACACACACTGGTAGCTGTGGACATGTTATGCATGCCCATTGTTGGCAAAGGTAATTTGTATTCTTAATATTAGCCCAGAGAAGCTTATCCAAAGGGAGAAGGAACTAAAGATGCTGAAGAAAAAACTCCATAGCATTGCCTAATAAGTGACAATTAAAACTGATTTGCTTTTTCATATGTGTAAAGATGTGACCTAGAAACTTCATAGTATATCAAGCATATCTTTTTTTTTTTTTTGAGGGGGCATCTCTTATATTTATTGATCAAATGGTTGTTAACAACAATAAAATTCTGTATAGGGGGGTCAATGCTCAATGCACAATCATTAATCCATCTCAAGCCTAATTCTCGTCAGTCTCCAATCTTCTGAAGCATAACGAACAAGTTCTTACATGGTGAACGAATTCTTACATAGTGAATAAGTTCTTACATGGTGAACAGTGCAAGGGCAGTCATCACAGAAACTTTCGGTTTTGATCACGCATTATGAACTATAAACAATCAGGTCAAATATGAATATTCGTTTGATTTTTATACTTGATTTATATGTGGATCCCACATTTCTACCTTTATTATTATTATTATTTTTATTTTTAATAAAATGCTGAAGTGGTAGGTAGATGCAAGATAAAGGTAGAAAACATAGTTTAGTGTTGTAAGAGGGCAAATGTAGATGATCAGGTGTGTGCCTATGGACTAAGTATTAATCCAGGCTAGACAAGGGCAGCAAGACATCCACGGATGCAGAAGATTTCTCTCAAAGCAGGGGGGGTGAGGTTCTGAGCCTCACCTCTGTTGATCCCCAAATTCTCACCTGATGGCCCCCCTGCGACTGTGCCTGTCTTAGGTTGTTCCTCCCTTGAGGAATCTTACCCGTCTCTGGCTAACCAGTCATCTTCCGGGGCCATACAGGGAAATGTAAAGTTGGTAAGTGAGAGAGAAGCCATATTGTTTGAAAAGGTTAGCTTTTTACTTCTTTGCAGATTTATGCCCTGTTCAAGCATATCTTTTAATGTGGGTATGTGTAATAGTTAACAAACTGGGTAAGAAAAACATTTTAACATTGGGATAAACCCTAAAAGAGTAATGTGTCTCCAAGTCAGCAACTCTTAATTCTGAAGGTTGCTCGTACTTGACTTGCTACTTCCTGAGGTTCTCAGGGCTCCCTGAGCTAAGAGGGGATAACCACCAATTCGTTCTACTTTAGTACTTTTGTGCTTTTGCAAAGCCAGCTAATCAGTACTGTCATTCATTCTAGCACTGGACTCATTAAGTTGTCCTGAACTTCCTCTAACAGCTAGCTATCAACCCTACCGAAATGACCAGGTAGCCCTGGGATCAAGAAGTTTGCTACTTTTGTAATGCTTATTTGCAGGCAGTATTTTTGGCTTTCTTGTTTTAGAACTCGACTCATATTGATGATTAAAACAACTCAAATTAAATTAGCAGTGCTAAAAATAATTCAGCCCATTTTAAGATACTAATTTTTAGATTATTTATAGAAACAAATTACTTAAAATGTTGAAGCTTGTGGCTTTCATTGAAAAAAATTACCGTTGTTTTTGATACCTCATGTTCTCTGATTGTAAAGGTATTTTGATTCCGTTCAAGCTAAAGAACAGCGAAGGCAACAGAGATTACGCTTACATACAAGCTATGATGTAGAAAATGGAGAATTCCTTTGTCCCCTTTGTGAATGCTTGAGTAACACTGTTATTCCTCTGCTGCTTCCTCCGAGAAATATTTTTAACAGGTCAGTTTTGGCTCATTAAACCTTTATATCAAGCAGTAGTTTTCTTTGAAGGTAGTGAAATAATAAACCAGATGGGGGAAATCATTCTAGCGAATTGCATAATGTTTTCCAGATACTTTCTAAACTAAAATTTAGCCATTTCTTCTGGCAGATCTGTGAAATATGATTTTGGCATTTTATAAAGGAAACGCCAAAATTGAATATTTTCTTGGCCACCCATAAACACCATAGAAGATATAAAACTCCTCTGTATTTATGAAAACTGTTGTCTTTATTTCTCGGACCCTACTTAATTTCCCTCATCCTTTTCAAAGATACCCAGTAAATTGATAGGGGAGGGAAGGGACAGCTCAAACTGACTTTACTGAATATGCCAACATTAAATATATTTTGTAGTTTGCTGGCTAACAATAAATAGTTTACGAATTTGGCCAAAAAGTGAAAATTTTTTGGTGTTTCTAAAATGGAAAATTCATAGCATTTCATAATTTTTAGGGTGCTCTAGTTAATAGAGTATTGGACATACTCATTTCAAATATAAATGTGATAGTGTCTGCTATTCAAATCTGCTTTTCGTGTCTCAGTTTAGAATTATGCTTTCTACCTTTACAAGCACAAATACTAATTTACATTTTATGAATATGAATCATCTGTTAATTTCTGGATTCAATTCAAAGCAAAAGTAGCTTTTATTCCTGTCAATTTTAGGAGTTCAAACTACAATGTCTTTGTTTATATTACCATAAAATATTCTTAATTTGCTGTTAGATTTGAGTGTAAGCTCATACTTTTTAATCAAAAGAATATCATTATGCTGACATGCATTTGAACTGATAAGAAATTAATCATTGTTAGATTAAGGATTAAAAATCACCTTTGTTGGATTTCATCTGTCACTTTGTGGTTTGGGTTTTATGTTTTTCTCATGAGAGTCAATTGCAACATTGTCATGAAGCACATAGGCTTTGGACACAGGTAGAGCTGGGGTTGAATGCCAGATTTGTCCCTTTTATGACCTTGGGCAAGACATTACACAGCTCTAAATAAACCTCAGTTTTCTCATCTGTAAAATGGGGGTAATAGTATAACCTATTTCTTAAGAATATTTTGGGGAGTAAATCTAATCTGTAAAATGCTTGACTAAATGCCTATCCCATAGTAAACACTCCATAAATATTAATGTATGGTGATTATTATATTTAAGAAGTACTAGCAAATTCCTATGCTGCAAAATTCGAAATGAGGTTTTTGAAAAATAATGTCATTAGCATCATAGTGACAGTCTGTTTTCATTTTCATTGGCAAATAATCTATTTCTGTTTTTTTAAAGACAACAGATTTTCTACTAGCTTTTTTTTTTAATATTTGAAGTGTGTTTAAAATATGCCCATGATCATTTAAGGAGTCTTTAGTGTCTTATACTAAGCAACAATATCGGAATACTAAACACTTTCTATCATCTTTTCTAGCAGGTTAAATTTTTCAGACCAACCAAGTCTGACTCAGTGGATTAGAACAATATCTCAGCAAATAAAAGCATTACAATTTCTTAGGAAAGAAGAAAGTACTCCTAGTAAGTTCTAATAACCTGCTTTCATTTTTCCCTAAAGTCTGAGATTGTTGGAAAATGTAGTTCCAGAAGAAACTGTTTTAAGAATATCATTTAAATGAAATGTCTCATTTTAGTATTTGGCTTATTCTAATTTTCTTTGTCTTAATAAACTAAATTTGACTACTACATTACTCCATATTTCTTGAAAACACACAAGCTCCTGTGAAGTTTATGATGAAGACTTCTCACTTACTCCCCCATGTTATTGAAGAGCTTCTGGGGGTGGGAGAATGTAACTGCCTGTTGCAGAGCGAGCTTCAGTTCTCAGTGGGCTCACTCACTTTGTTGTTGGCATTACCGAAGGCTTCCCAAGGTCACCTCCCCAAAGTGCGCACCTCCCCCACCAATCCCATGCATAGCACTTACGACCTTGTGGGAAAGCAGTCTGAGCAGAATTTAAATCATTGGTTTTTATAACAACACAGTAGCATACTCTTACTTTTCTTACCTTCCCTAGCTATGAGTTAGTGGCTATCCAATTAGGAAAAGTGCCTTGGTTAATACATAGGTGACTGAAGAAGGTGCCTTTAATCAGAGCAGTAGTATCTCTCGTGCTTTGAATACATGAATACATGGTTTTTTATTAATTGAAAAATTTCTCTCTTTTTTTTTGGCCTATATTTAGAGTTAAATTTATGACTGAATGTATAGAAATATTGTGGATTGGTGATTAGTAATATTAAATACTTGTTTCTGTAGATATTGTCTCTTCAAAGAATTCAGAAATTATGGATGAATTGCAGCTCCCTGAAGGGTTTAGGCCTGATTTTCATCCTAAGTGAGTACATTATTTCATTCCTTTTAAATTTGACCCACTTGAAATGAAAAATTAAGATAGCAGTTAGTAAGAATGATTTGTTCAAGCAATTAAGTTAGCAGTAAGAATGATTTGTTCAAGCTAGGTAAGCAAATATTAGGATATTGATCTTGAATTCTGAGGTTTAAGCATTATTACATGATATTTATTGTAGATATATTGATAAAATGTATATTGATATAAAATGTATATTGATAAAAACCTAAGAACCATGTGCCATGTTTAATTCTTACCAGCCTCTCCTAGTCTGCATTGCTAACTCCCTACTCCGCCTTTATCTGTCAGATGCTCTCCTTGACACTGCCTCATTGATGCATGTAGCTCTGAAGTGCCCACCTCCCCCACCAATCCCATGCTTTTCTTCTGACTTCCATTGTTTCTGTTTATGGCTTCATCCAGGTAGTATCCAAGATCAAAACCAGAGTATTTTCAACCCTATTTTACCCCAAAGCCAATTAACTTTAAAGTATAGCATAGATTTTCGAGCTAGATGGCTTGGCTAAGTTCCCAGCAGATGTCCAACTTTGTGCAAATTACATGACTTATCTGTACCTTGGTTTCCTCATCTGTAAAGTGAGGATACTAATATCTATATCATAAGTGTTATGAGGGTAAAGAGACAAAATACATGTAATGTCACCTGGAAGCTATGCCTGGCATATACTAAGTAACCCAACAAAAGTCGTACTAAAAGGCTTAAATAGAAGAACATCAGTCCTGTGTTTCCCACATTCCCCTCTCAGTCCTGTCATTTTGTTTCTTCTGCTATTTATTTCCATATTTCTAGTTAAAATTCTTAGTTGAGTATCTCTTTATCATTTTTTTAAAGTGTTTTTCTGTTGACTGGCAAATTAGGATTCATTTCTTACCTCTACCCCATCTACTACTCCACCAATCTCCCAAAAGTTATTTCACAATTTTTTATTAAATCAATTGGCAGTTTTTACCTATAATTGTTTCCACAGATGAAAATTGTATGTTATATGTCCTTCCTATGTAATTTTGTCTCTTTCCTGTGGTTAATAATTACCTTATTATTTTCTTGTTCTTGATTTTCTCTGTATGTATTACTTTTTTCCCCCCTAAATGCTGAAATAGATCTATCAGATGCCTAGCAATAGCTTTTCTTAGTGCTCAGACTCACCAGCTGTTCTTCTGTTCTGGAACCCACCTCCCGCAGCTTCTGTCCTCTTGGACCAATCAGCTCAGGGCACAGTTGTCACCCTGAGACTTCCCCTGGCCATGCTCCATGCATTTCCCTGGATCTCATTTCCTCCTCTATCTAATTTACTCTGTTATTTTGCACAGGTGCTTTCTTCAGCAGATTCCTAAGAAAGGGTGCCTGGGTGTTAAATTTTCATGTCTGAAAAGAATATTCATTGTATCCATATGCTTGATAGATGGTTTGGTTGTAGTCTTGTAGGTTAGAAACAAGTTTTTCTGTAGATTTTGAAGGCATTGTTTTATTGACTTCTAGCATTCATTGAGAAATTAATACCATTCTGGTTCCTGTCCTTTATAACTTTGTTACTTTTGGAAATTATTGGGATCTTCTCTTTAATCCCCAGTGTTCTGAAATTTCTGTGTGATAGTCACTGGAATGTGAGTCTTTTCTTCATTCATTTTGCTACATTTTCAGAAGAGTCTTTGAATTTAAAGATTCATATCCTTCCCTTCTGAGAATTTGTTATGTTGTTTCTTAGATAATTTTCTCCCCTTGGTTTTTCTGTTCTTTGAGGTAGTCCTGTTAGCTTCACTAATGGCCCTCTTGAACTGATCCTCTAATTTTCTTACAAGTTTTCTGCTTTCTATACAATGTTTTCCCTGTGTTCTTTTTTTTTTTCTGCTTGTTTTGTTTATCTCTTTCGTGTTTGACTTTTTCCTCCAATGTTTTTGGTCCTTGCATGACTACTCAAGAATAATCACTAAAGCTCATTGGATACCTGGTGGGCAGGTTGGGGCTTGCTGACATGTGAGCCTCACAGTGAGGTGTTCAGGCCCCCACCAGTCTTTTACTTGGGACCCTCAAATGTCAATGTGTAAAACAGTTTTCCCCTGAGGATTCTTCAGTGGAGAAACTAAAATACATTGCCAGTATTCTCAAGATGAGGAAGAGTTTTTTTGCCCTAATACCTTGTTGTTTCCAGCCTATGTCACCTCTGCCAACAGCCCAAATAGAACATAACTCCTCTCAGGCAGGGACAGTTTGCATACCTATAATTTCCCCTTTGCACACAACTACCTTTAGATTAAGTGTCTCAGTTCCAACATAGCAAATAACTGTTCAGAAACGTTTGATTTATGTGGACACATTGTTTCTGATCTAACCCTACACATGTTCTCTTCAGGAACCCTTATTCTGAGAGCATAAAAGAAATGCTAAAAACATTTGGAACTGCCACCTATAAAGTGGGGCTAAAGGTTCATCCCAATGAAGAGGATCCCCGTGTGCCAATAATGTGTTGGGGTAGTTGTGCATACACCATCCAAAGTATAGGTAAGAGAATTTAGACTTGTTTCTCTAATTCACAAGCATATGTTGCCATGAATTATGTGTAGAAACTTCTTTTTAACTAAGATGTTTAAAGTAGGCAACAATATGAAGAAATAATACAAAGATTTTGAAGCAGAAGTGCAGTATACTGACAAAATATTAGGTTGGCAGTTTGTAAATTAACACAGAAATAGAAAAATCACTTTGGTGGTGGTTATAGTTGAGGAATGTTTTCATTTTTCTTTTCATCCAGTTAATTCTTAATTCAACTTAAAACAATTTTAAAAACTTTAAAATGACTTAAAGATTTCAAAACTTGATATTATTGTGCTTTCTGCAGAATTTTTTTTACTTTTGTTGAAATTATGATAAAATACACATAAACGTTAAGTTTACCATCTTAACCATTTTTAATCTGCAGAAAGAATTTTAAGTGATGAAGGAAAACCGTTGTTTGGTCCTTTACCTTGCAGACTGGTAAGTTATCATTTTTCTCAATTAACACAATGGTAAAGTTGAAATTCAGTAGCTCTGCTTTTTTTAATCTTAAAATCCTAAAATGGTTACTTCAGCATACTCCTTCCAAAGTAAAACCAATTTTCTGTAATGATATTGAAGAAATAATGTTTGTGGCTTAATTTTTCATGGTTTCATTTAAATAAACAAGCTCATTTCATCAAGAGCTCTTAGTTAAAACACCTGAAAAGATGGGAAAAAATGCTAAGTGCTCGTTCTTAAATTTTTTTTTTTTACAAAATATGGAACGCTTCATGAATTTGCTTGTCATCCTTGCGCAGGGGCCATGCTAATCTTCTCTGTTTCATTCCAATTTTAGTGTATGTGCTGCCGAAGCGAGCACTGTTCTTAAATTTTTAATGCTGTTACTAAAAATATAAAACAGAACACATCTGTACCACACATGACTACCTTTTATAAGCAACATGTAAATAAGTACAGTTTAATGCCAAACAGTGCATTTAATGCCCAGAAAAATGAGGAAGAAATATAGAAAGCTAGCTGATTTTTACTGTGGAGTTTCTGTCAGATAGTGTCATATGCTGCTTGCTATTCAAGCTTATATTCACAAAAGTTAATTTAAGAGCAAAATCATGTAATTTTATTCATGTAAAATCACCTGGAGAGTTTTAAAAATGCCTAAACCCTACCACAGTCAATTCAATCAGTCTGGAGATGGGCCCTAGGCATTAATATTTTTTAAAAGCTTCCCAGGAGCCAGAATTGAGAACCACAGGTGTAAGAGCCTAACCAAGGAATGAAAACCCGTGAAAATACAATTCATTGTGATTACTCAGTAACTAGTTACTTTGCTAATTTTTGTTTTTGATGCAAACACCTAGAGTCTCAGTGCCCCTTTTTATGGTTTGAGGAATATAGATCATTTTTTGGAGGTTCATGGCTGGGGATTGTGCATTAAGATCCTCTTTGGAACTTTTTAGAAACAGAGATACCTGACCACTTTGGATTTACTAAATTGGAATATCTAGAAGTAAGTGCTGATATTAAAACTGGTCTGAATTGTATCTTTATAGTAAATCTGCAGAATGTCAGTTCATATCAGTCTTGACTCATGATATGATATATGATATGATATATATGATATACAATATGTGACTATCAGTGTTGACTGATATTTTTACTGCAATAATTAAGAGCTGATAAGTATGCTGGTGATTTAAAAAGCAATCACAAATGTATATAATAGAGTTCATTTTTTCTGTTTTTTAGGCAGTTATACATTTTCTTGACTTCATGTACTTTACACTACCTCTTGGACACACTGTTGACATTTCTGCATCTACTTACATCTATGTTCATAAGAAAGATTGGCCTATTCCCTTTCTTTGAATCTTCTTGTTAGGTGTTAGTATCAAAGCTATGCAGGCCTTACAAATTTTAAATTTTTCTAAATTTAATTTTTAAAGTATATAGCCATTAAGAGTGAACATCCATATTCATGACTCCTACTCCTCAAACTTACATATGTTCTCCAGTCATCTTTTTCTACTATATCAGGATACAGGACCTCATGATGAGGTGGCTTATCCTTCCACCCGTTATCTGGAAGCCAGCCCCTCCTCAGTTACCCCTTTTGTCTCTCTCTTTCCTAGCAGTTCCCCTGTGGAGCTTCATTGTCCCTCCTCTTACTCTTGGCCTCAGTGTCAACTTCCTTTTGTCAGTATATTTTATTTTATTTTTGTCACCATGTAATGAAAAGGCTTAAATACAGATAAGGAAATAGCACCTGCAGTTTTTTATATTTTGTTTCACATCAAATAAGAGAAAAATTGTATACATAGTAAAACTTCTTAAAACAATAATGTATACTCTGGCCCCAATTTCTTGCTAATAACCCTTCACTTTTCAACTCCCTGCAATTTGGTTTCCTCCCCTAACACTTTTTCACTTTTAGGAAATAGCTCTTACCAGGTTCACCAAATGATCACCTCATTACCATTTTGGGTGGACATTTTTCAGCCCTTCTTTGACATTTCTATTTTCCTAATTCTTTTAACTGCTTCCCTCTGAAACTTATTTACTCTCTTGATTTCTGTGATATTCTTGGTTTGCTCCCTATCTCTATGGCTACTCCTCCTCATTCTCTCCTGCCTCCACCCTGTAAATGTTGTTGACCCATGACCTTTAATCATCTGACACTCTTTTCTGGCCAGGCCCCCTGTGCAACTCATATCAATAAAATTCAAATTATGTCTCCAAACCCAATCTGTTATTTCCTTGTCTGCTTTATTGTTTTCACCTGGGTCTCTTAAAGGCACCTCAAATTAAACAATCCAAATTAATTTTTCTTCCTATACTCTTTGTGTTAGTTAAATGTCACTACTCTCCATCCAGGTAACCAAGCCAGAAACCTAGAAATGAAGGTGTGTGCATCATTTGGTCCAGATGTTCATTCATACCCAGTTGGACAGTAGAGTCTGTGGGATTCCTCTCCTGCATATTTGTCCTATTCCTTCTATTTCTACTTCTGCTTGCTTGCTTCAGCCCATATCATTTTGCCTAGATTATTGTACCAGTCTCTACCCTGAATCTCACTCTTTTCTAATACATTGTTAGATTCCTCCAAAAAGTAATCCTGATCATCTCTCTTAAACTTCTTGACCAATTTCTCTATTAGCACCTCCTGCCAATCCCCACATCCTTGGCCAGGCTTGCAGAATCATTGCTGGTTCCCAGGCCTTTGCCTCTGCGAGAGCACCATAAGCAGACTCCTTCTCCTCTGTAAGACGTTCTTCAAGCTCTGCCTTCCCTGGGAAACCTCTGAGCCATGTCCTGTGAGGATAACCCTCATCTGTAGTACTGCCTCCTCCAGTTGTCTTCTCCCCATTTTTCTTTTTTTTTTTTTTTGATTGAAGTATCATTGATATACAATCTTATATTGGTTTCAAATAGACAACAGAGTGGTTTAACAGTTACTCATATTATTAAATCCTCACCTCGACTAGTGTGATTACTGTCTGTCAGCATAGAATGATGTTACAGAATTGACTGTATTCTCCATGTTGTACTACTATCCCCATGGCCAACTTATAGCATGATTAAGAATTTTTGTGCCCCTTTATTTGCCTCCCCCCTCCATCACTCACCCCAACTCCTCCCCCAGGGTAACTACCAGTCACCTCACAGTGTCTGTGAGTCTGCTACTTTTTCATTCATTCTGTTTTGCTGTTTTTATATTCCACAAATAAGTTAAATCATATGGTGTTTGTCTCCTCCTGCCTTATTTCACTGACCATAATACCCTCTAGATCCATCCAGGTTGTTGCAAATGGCAAGATTTCTTTTATTTTTATGGCTGAATAATATTCCATTGTGTATATGTACCATATCTTTGTCCATTCATCTGTTGATGGACACTTAGGTTGCTTCCATATTTTGGCTATTGTAAATACTACAGCGATAAACATAGGGGTGCAGATATCTTTTAGAATCAGGGATTTTGTTTTCTTTGGGTGAATTCGTAGAAGTGGAATTACTGGATTGAATGGTATTTCTATTATTAGTTTTTTGAGGAACCTCCATACTGCTTTCCACAGTGGTGGTACCGATTGACATTCCCACCAACAGTATAGGAGGGTTCCCATTTCTCCACATACTCGCTAACACTTGTTATTTCTTGTCTTTTGGATGGTGGCCATTCTAACTGGGGTGAGGTTATTTCTCATTGTGGTTTTCATTTGCATTACCCTGATTAATAGTGTGGAACATCTTTTTTTCATGTGCCTATTGACCATCTCTGTTCCTTCTTTGGAGAAATGTCTGTTCTGTTCAGATCTTTTGCCCATTTTTTAATCGGGTTATTTGTTTTTTAGGTGTTAAGGCATATAACTTCTTTATATATTTTGGATGTTAACCCCTTATCAGATAAATCACTTATGAAAATATTCTCCCATACTGTATGTTACCTGTTTGTTCTGCTGATGGTGTCCTTTGCTGTACAGCAGCTTTTTAGTTTTAAAGTTTTCATTTTTTATTTTGTTTCCCTTGCGTAAGGAGATGTGTCCAGGAAAAAATTGCTCATAGTTATGTTCAAGAGATTTTTGCCAATGTTTTCTTCTAAGAGTTTTATGGTTGCAGGTCTTACATTCAGGTTTTTGATCCATTGCGAGCTTATTTTTGTGTTTGGAGTTAAATGGTAACCCAGTTTCATTCTCTTACATGTAGCTGTCTAGTTTTCCCAACACCAGTTATTAAAGAGGCTGTCTTTTCCCCATTGTATATTCATGGCTCCTTTAGCATATATTAATTGACCATAGATGCTCGGGTTTATATCTGGGCTCTCTGTTCTGTTCCACTGATCTAAAGGTATGTTCTTGCTGCCAGTACCATACTGTTTTGATTACTGTGGCTTTGTAGTAGAGCTTGAAATCAGCATAATTTCTCCAGCTTTGTTCTTCTTTCTCAGGATTGCTTTGGCTATTCGGGGTCTTTTGTGGTTCCATTTGAATTTTAGAATTATTTGTTCTAGTTCATTGAAAAATGCTGTTGGTATTTTGATAGGGATTGCATTGGCTCTGCAAATTCCTTTGGGCAGAATGGCCATTTTGACAATATTAATTCTTCCTATCCATGAGCACAGGATAGATTTCCATTGATTTGTGTCTTCTTTAATTTCTCTCATGAATGTCTTACAGTTTTCACAGTATATGTCTTTCACTTCCTTTGTCAGGTGTATCCCTCCCACCTTGTTTTTCCCTTCCCAACCACTATGGCTGTTTCATTCTAGGATCTTCAGATCCAAGACCAGCATGTAGTAGGTCTTCAATATCTATTGAACCAAGTGACATTACAGAAAAATTGGAAAATAGAAAATTAAGCAGGAAGAAAAAAGTTATCAACTTATTGCCCATCTGTCTTTTTTATCAGCATATTTATGCCTGATTATAATTGGTGTTTATGTGTAGTTTGTCCCTGTGGTACTCTTCATTTCACATCAAGAGTTTTTTCATTGTTGCTATGCAGTCCCCATACCAATTTTTGATGGCTAAAGACACCCTGATTTATACAAGCATCTTCTTGCACATAGTTTCTCCAATATTTAGAGTATTTCCCACATTTTAGAGTGTCTCTTTAGAAAAAGTATAAGGAAATACTGAATCACATTCTTGGGAGTCTGTTGTTTGCTGTCGTCCTCGATGCATGTATCTTCCTTTTGTTTTCTAGAGCCAGCAGAATGGTGGCAAGAGATAGCTTTGGTTTATTCAGCGTACAACCATATATTTACCATTGCATTCATTCCATGTTTGAGACGTGTCATAAAGATGTCACAGATTCAGTTCTTTACCACCTAGAGAGATTTCTTTGTGTACCCAGCACTGCTTTAAACTAGCTGTGCTTTGAACTAGCATTCCTGAACAAAGAGAACTACTTCATATGCTGACCTCTTTGTTAATTGTGCCAATGTCTTTCTTTATTTCAGGATGACTGTCTTAGGTCATTAACAAGATTTGCCGCAGCACACTGGACAGTGGTATCACTTCCAGTGGTGCAAGAACACTTCAGTAAACTTTTTGCATGTGAGTATTAATGCATGATCATATTTGTTATGCTAGTTCTCATTTTCTGTAATTTTGTTTCCAGTTGTGCAACTTCTTTCCATTGTGAAAAATGTTTTGATAATACTATTGTCTTACATACAAGTTCTAGCTTACAAATTCATATATATCTTGCAAAAAGATAAATTTAAACTAGATTACGTGTATTTTTAATTAATAAAAGACTTAATTGGCATATTAAATGTGTTGATGTATTTTTGTTTAACTATTTAGCATTGGTTCCTGATGACAACTACAGAGACCTTCCATGTATATTAGATATCGACATGTTTCATTTATTGGTGGGTATCTTGTAATTTGTGTTTGAAATTCTCTGTTTTAGGTACAACTTTATCTTAGACTTGGTGAGTAGTACAGAGGCAGACAGGAGGATTTATCATCTATTATTCTTACCATCTCTGAGTATAATTCTTCTCTGAGGAGGCTCAGAAAGAAAAATGTTAAGGAATCTAGTTGAGAGGCTTGTCCTGGGTATCTCATCCTCTCTCTTATTTTGCTTTGTGGCTGAGGTCAGTAATTTAACCTCTTTGCTTTTTACCTATAAAGAAGTAAAACTCTAGTAATGTAACAAACGATTGCTGCTGGCCCGTACAGTGTTTTTTAGACAGACACACACCTATGGTCACAGCTTAGCAGCATAGAGCCCCTATATGTGATGTAGGGAAAGGTATGTCTTCTCAACCGGTGCAGTCTGGTGCCAAGACACACCACTGGCAGTAAGTGGCTGTACTTCATTTACACAGGACACTGAGTGTACCACTACACACAGAAACCCCAAGTCCTGTCCTCTTAATCTCTTTGGGCATCAGATTCTGTACCTTTAAGTTGGTTGGTACCTACCTATAAGTGGGATAATCAATGTGAAGAGCTTTTGAATAATGTGTCCCTGGTAAATGTTAGCCATTGTTATTGTTCCCACTGCTTCTGTGAATACCACCACCACCACCTGCACCACTGTACAGGCAGCAGGAGGCTAAGAGACCCAGCACTTACTATATACCTGACTCCTTTCACATACATTCTCATTTAGGGCTTACATTGTTACTACCAAGGTATTAAAAATATGCACATACTATCTCTAGTTTACCACAGGAAAACTGAGGGTCAGAGGTGTTAACTTATCTAAAAAGTTTATAAGAGGAACTGGGACTCATATCTAGGTTTGTGTGCATCCAAGACCCATGCTTTTCCCAATGCTCATGTCCTATAAAGATTTCAAGTGATATTTTTATTATCATTAACAGCTATGTAGTGATTCATCACTGGATAAAGGAAAGAATAGTGCCCATCGAGACCCCTTTATTGAGCTCTTAGTTAATTTCATTTAGCCAATCCTAGTGGAATTTCTAACCTGTGTACCCTTTAAGAACAAAGATTTCTTAAAGGGAGGGGCTGAGCTCAGGAGGGGATCATATTAAGAAAATGGAAACATGCTTAACTGTGGAAGGCGGAAAGATAACTGCTCTTGACCCTCTGTATTTGGTATCTAGGTGGGACTGGTGCTCGCTTTCCCTGCATTGCAGTGTCAGGATTTTTCAGGGATCAGCCTTGGTGCTGGAGACATTAACATTTTCCATCTGGTCACTATGGCACACATCATACAGATCTTACTTACCTCGTGTACAGGTAATTCCTCTTGTCAACTCCTTGAAAGATGTACTTGAGTTTTTTCAGTTTAAGGAAAAAAGTATTAGAGGAAAAGGTGCTTGGACAAGAATAATATGTAAATTGTAATTAAGCTACTTGTTTTTCTGTTTATCCTCTTGTGAAAAGTTTTGAAATAAAATTTTTTCTCCTATTAAAACCCCTAACAATCTGAATGTCCTTACTTATTTTTCATTTCGTATGTTCAGTAATATTTTAGTACCATGGACTGTATATTTAGCTGATTTTACTCACATGCACCATGCTTGTTGCCTGGCACCCTGACACACAGTGGCTTCCTCTCCCAAAGCCTGCCAGTTCCTTGCTGTGCTGCAGATCAGTACTGTGCTCACACATGAGAGAGTAAAGTTCTTTGTATTTTGTGGGAGTATTTTCATATTATATGTGAGTATATGAATATATTTGAGTGCTTAAATGATGTGTCCCACAATCCATTTAGTAAGCAAATACTAATGTTTCCTTACCTTGCAGAAGAGAATGGCATGGATCAAGGAAATCCTGCTGTTGAAGAAGAATTAGCAGTTCTTGCTTTGTTTAAATCACTTCACCAGTATATGGGAAGGTGAGATCGTAATCTTTACATGATTGACAGTTCCCCAAATATTAGGATAAAATGAAAAAAATAATTCACTTGTTAAATAAGGGAAATTTCTATCTATTGACATGTTTGAAAAAGAAGATGAGATGTTATGTGCAGGACTCCTCTGAGCTTTTAATAAACTGACATGACTGGAGATCTCTGAGAGCAGTAATACGCAGAGCTTCCCGCATTGTTCCGGCCATGGGACCCTTCTTGTGCTCAGAGGATCTGGCACAGACTAGTGGAAACATGAAAACTGCTTTGAAAAGTACTATTCTAAAACATATGTTGTCTCACTAGAAATTTAAAAATGCAAATTAAGTGTTATAATATATTTTTAAGGTAACATCCAGGACTGACAGAAAGAAGTGCAGTGAAATTATTAGAACTTCATATATTGTTGGAGTCATTGTGATTTGTCCAACAGTTTCACTTAGCTTTTTAACAGTATATGTCAAGGACCATGATGTTGGTTCTTTGGCTAGTTGTCCCATATGGTTTGTGATCTGAAAAACATGTTAGCTTTAAATTTCATATGTTACAGTTATAACTGTCTAAGATATATTAGTATGAAAATAGTTTGCCAGAATAATACCCACTGGTAAGAAGTTCTAGACTTGTGAATGGTTTTAATTTTACAAATTTTATTTTTATGTAGCTATAATACTTTTATAAATTTTAATAATAACATTGGAGGCTATATTCCCATTTATACCTGACATCCTATAATAGTCAGAACTGTCTACTCCTTTTAAGTCTGTGCCATCAATTCCAAAAAGCAGTATCTCTGATTTCACACTGTGCCATTACTAGAATGACCTTTTTTTATTGGATTTCCCAATTATCATCTTTTTATCTTAGTTCCTTGAAAGAAATGCCCTCTGGCTGGCATCTGTGGAGGAATGTCAGAACTGGAATCATGCCTTTCCTAAAGTGTTCTGCTTTGTTTTTTCATTACTTAAATGGAGTTCCTCCCCCACCTGAAATTCAAGGTAATTTCCCATTTGTTTCAAAATGTAGGAAATGTATGTGGTCTGTCACTCCAGCAACTTACAATTAAAGTGACTTGCAAAAATGAAAACTGATTAAAAGTTTAGAACATACCTAATTGACTATGGTGATGTACACAATTATAGAATAAAAATGCATATTCATGTATACATATGATTTTATTTGGATCTCAGTAAATGTACTATTTTTGTACATTTACATGTATAAAAATACTAGCTTTGCTTTCAGATGTTAAAATGTTCAGTTATATATAATTCATAAACTGGGTTCTTCAGATTTTAAGAAATGAAAGCTCATAATTTCGAGTGTTTTAACTTGAAACATGTGGCATTAAAGTTCAGAATACCCATAATTCCACATAAAAATTTTAATGTAGGAATTCATTTTCTGTTTCACAGTTGTTTGCTATGTTCTGTTTTGATTCAGTACATAAAAGTAGCATAAAGTAGAAGTTTACTGCTTCTCTGTATCTCACAGTGCCTGGCTCAGGCCTGGGGGGCCTGCACAGGAAGCTGCTCTCTCAAAGTTCATTGACTGGCATTTTCAGTCACCTGGTTGCCCAGGAACCTTAGAGAATACTTTAGACTTTGTAATCATTTGCAGTGATGATTACAGTTTAGTGTTTAAGTCCATCTCTTGTGGTAAAATCATATTATGTTTCTGTGCTGCTTTATGCTTTTCCAGAGCACCTGTATGTGAATTTTTGTCATTCAGTGCTCACAAGTAACCCCATGAAGTGCATGGCTCAGGTGTGCCATCTTGTCAGTGGTAAAACTGAGATACTAAGAGACTGTAACCAGTTTGGCACAGGAGTTGCCTGACTCCAATCTCAGTAGTGTCATTTTCTGTGGAGCCCTTCCATGTCCCATCTTGTTAGCTTCCTACAAGTTATGTACCCAGCAAGTTTAAGCCCCTTCATTATGACATTTTTTTTTAAGCTCAGCTATTACTTACTCTTATACAGGATCTGGTCTTAGTTGTTACATGCATTACTTTTTCTTCTCCATTTGCAGTTTCGGGAACAAGCCATTTTGAACATTTATGTAACTATCTTTCCCTGCCAAACAACCTCATTTGCCTTTTTCAAGAAAATGGTGAGATAATGAAATTACTGATTGAAAGGTAATGATTATACACATTTTTTCATTATATTGAATAGTTATATGGAAATGAACTTCAGTTTATCACATATATTACAAAGTTCTCAGATAGCCTGGCAGGACTCAGTCTGTGTGATTCAAACTATGATGATGAGGCCTTCTTTGATAAAGATTTACCTCTGGTAAGATTTTTGCCAAAGCCAATGAATAGCATAAGCAGATTTGCTTGGAATGAGAGTATTGGTAGAAATGTTTATATCCTCATATGAACTTACTCGTTAAAGACTCCATTCTGTAAGGCTTTTCGGATCTAGTATAATACCTCATTTTATGTTTGAGAAATCTGAAGCCTAGAAAAATTTACCATCAATCGTGTCGAATTGGTGACTGAGTTCAGGTTAAAATTTGGTTATTTTACCCACAGAATGGGAGAAAATATGCAAACCATGTATTTGATAAGGGATTAAAATTCAAAAGGTGTGTCTGTGTGTGTATGTGTGTGTATACCCAGAATTCCTACATCTCAGCAAAAAGCAAACAGCCCATTAAAAAACAAGCAAAGATACACAGATAGCCAATAAGCACATGAAAACATGCTCAGTTAATTAACATCACTAGTCATTAGGGAAATGCAAATAAAAACCACAATAAGATACCACTTCATACCTATTAGGATGGCTATTTTCAAAAAGAACAGTAACAACACACAATGAGGATGTTGAGCAATTGGAACTCATGTGCATTGCTGGTAGGACTAGAAAATGATGCAGTGTCTCTGGAAAGCAGTGTGGTAGCTCCTCAAATAGTGAAACATAGAATTACCATATGACCCAGCAATTCCACTCCTACATATATATTGCAAAAGAACTGAGGACAGGGATTCACATACACCCATGTTCATTACTATGAACACTATTCACAGTAGTCAAAAGGTAGAAACAATCCCAATATTCATCAACAGATGAATGGATAAAATGTGGTGTATTCGTGGAATATGTACAATGGAATATATTCAGCCTTAAAAATGAAGAAAATTCTGACACATGCTGCAATGTGGATGAGCCTTGAAAACATGCAAAGTGAAATAAGCAGTCACAGTATAACAAATGTTGTATGTTTCCACTTATATGAGGTACCAAGAGTAGTTAAATTTAGGCAGAAATAGAATGATAGTTGCCAGGGGCTGGATGACAGGCAGAATAGGTTAGTGTTTAATAAGTACAGAATTTCACTTACGAAAGCTGAAAAAGTTTTGGATGGTGGTGATAGTTGCCCAACAGTTTGAATGTCTTTAAAGCCACAGAACTGTATATTTAAAAACTGTTAAAATGATCATTTTTGTTACATATTTTTACCACAATAAAAAAATTAATTTAATGTGCGTTTTCTAGCTCCAAATAGGAAGATATCATTAATTCAGACTGGTTTTTTCAAAGTGTCCAGATTGGGGGGGTAATAGTGTATGTGGCACAAATTTTAATATATTAAGCATTCTTGCTTTTAGAAAATCACAAGTCATAGTCTTGACTTTAAAAGTTGCAGGCAAAATACAGTATTCCTGCTTTTTTTAATGAGGTAAATATATCAAGCTGAGAAAATTATTTTTCTCTTACTAGATTTAGAGAGAAAGAAATTCTAGTTTTAGCCATTAAAAGTGTAAAATGTTTTGTGTTTTTTTTTCCCCCGTTTACATTTAAGTTGGTGTCATAACATTGAAGTTAAAAGATATGCAGAAGGTGAAAGAGATGCTATAAGGTAAGTTAAAGATAGTCCAAGACTTGGCTGTGGGGTAGGGAGGTAGGGAGGAAGCCGGATAGAAATGCTATATTCCTTCAAAACTGATCTCCCAAAACTTTATTGATTCCAAAACACTGAACATCTTGCCTTCATTCTCTTTTCTTCTTAATCTATTGATGAGAGTTTAACAGAATCACCCTATTTTAGAATGTTAGCTTTAAAAAAAAAATCATTTTCTATGATTTTCTTAGCTCTATTTTTTTTTCTTTTATTATGGGAAATTTCAAACTATCCAAAAGTGTAAAGAATAGCATAAGACTCCACATACCTGTCACTCAGCTTCAGTATTACCAAATCATGGCCAACCATTTTTATTTCTATTTTTTCTTCATTCCTTTTGACATTAGCTCTATTGTTATTCTGTAATAAAATATGCTGTACCAAGTGATAACATGTATTTTATCTGTTAATATCTCTTTGGTCCTGTTGAGCATATCATCCATAAAATCAGAAGGCTAGAGGAGATTATCTATTCTAGTTCTTTGATTTTATACACATCCTGTCCCAAAACCAAAGATACCCAATTTAATTAGGTCAAGCCATCTGAAGTTATGGTTTTATAAGTCAGTTGTTGAAAATCAGCCATTTCATGTGGTTCAGTCAGAATCTAACTCATTATGTCAAACAGTAGTTCTTACCTTGAGGTATATATCAGAATAACTAGAAACTTAAATAATACTCAAGCCCTCTCTACCAAATCTAATTTCTCCAAAGTTGGGCTTCTAGCATGCATATCCTCCCAAAATTACCCCACAGTGATCCTGGTATAAGAACAGCTATGTGAGTAACTGCCCCTGGTGTCAGTCCACTGCCATCCCTGCCATGTCTGTGCTGGGCTGATGTGAATACTCAGAAAGTATGTCCTAAAATGCCTGTTGAATTCGGATCTACGTTTAACTAAATCAACTTGTCACAGAATCAACAAAAAAAGCCTGGTATTTCTCATTTAAAGACAGTCTCTCATACAACTAATGACTCTATAACATTTTACTACATCTGATAGACAGTGACTGTAGTGGAGGGGACGAGGCCTTGATAATATGGGTGAAGGTTGAACTAGTGTTTTGTGTATGTGAAACCATCAGAAGATTGTATATCAATGATACTTTAATTTTTAAAAAAAAGAGTCTCTCCGGGTAAGATTCCTCAAGGGAGGAACAACCTAAGACAGGCACAGTCGCAGGGGGGCCATCAGGTGAGAATTTGGGGATCAACAGAGGTGAGG